TGAAAGCGTGCAAGAGCTATCGCACGTATTGTAGCTATTTTCCGGAACCACTGTTCTACTTTTGATATTGGCTGTACTAACATCAGGGGCGGGGGGGGGGGGTTATACCTTCCAATAGATTTTCTCCCAATGAATTTTGGATAAATGTAAATGTGTTTATTTATTTGTGACGTAAAATGGCTATGCATGTCCTGAATAATCCAAAATATTTCAAAAATTAAGCCATATATGAAAAGCTTGTAAATAAAAGTCTTTATTAATTATTTTGAAAGTTCTTTCAGAGTGAGACAAGCTAAATTTTCACTGCCAATGGCAATGTTCTTTAATTTGATGTATTTAAGTGCCCAGAATTTCTTGAATTATGGCCTGCAAATTTTTAACTGCAAAAATTGCTTATTATTTCCCAACCTCGTACCCAGGATCTTTCTTTGGGAGAGACCCTGGGAACGAGGTTGATTATTTCCTTCATGCAATTCAGTCATTTAATTTAATATGCATTTTCCCCATACAATGTCACACATTGGTACAATTATAGCACATGATGTCATTTTCATCCGGAAAAATCCCGACAAAAAGGAATTTTAATTTGATCGGTAACTCTAAAATCTGATTACATGAACTCACTTCATAATTGCATTGAAACTATAAAAGAGACCCCCCCCCCCCCCCCTCATTTATCGTGTCTAGCAACGGCCCTGCTCATTTTGTCAAATGCAGTCTAGTGTTATTTACCCTGTCCGACCTTGTTGCTGAAAATGACCAGTCTATTTTGATTTATAGCCTGTATATTTCTGATCAATAGAGCATTTGGTCGTAAAATCGGTAAATTGGTCAGAAAACGTCCCACCTAAAAAAATTTAGGCTTTGGACGATGAACAACAGAAGTTCATCCGATTGTAATGTATAACTTATATAGCCTCACTTCGCCTGGTTCACATTACCCACTTCCACCCTGCTTCAACCAATCTCAAAAAAAACCAGGAAAGTAACACAGGAGGGGGGAGGGGGGATGAATATACATTTATCCTAAATTTGTTCGGAGGAAATTTACTTAAGGGTTTTACCACCCTGACTGACATGCCTTGGCCAACATCAGTACTAGAATTATACTTCCTGAAAAGAACTACAAGAGAACACGACTGAATCGAAAGACAAAAGATTCAAAGACCTTCAAACAATGCTTTTAATAACCGATGTCTTCGAAATTATTTTTAACAGCAGCCGAACATTTCTTATGCTAAACATTTAAAGTAAAACACTTTCAAAACAGCGAATGTTCCGTTTTCGTGCGTCAATACGAGCGGCGCCAATCAGTGAGGCGTTTTCTAAAAGTTTCCCCTGTATAAAATACACACCCCATGACGCAGGGTGCAGCATTGTAAGACCCATTTCATACGTCGAATTTAATTCAGACGAATTCAATTCGTTATTATATATTGGTCGCCATTGGTCAAGTTTAAAATGGTTTCGTTTCAAGGCTACGGATTTATGGTTTCACGATAGTTTATGCATTGAAATCTGCAAAAAAGTAAATGAGTAAAATTATATAGTCATGTTTACGTATTGGTTACACCGTAGAAACAGATTGGTTAAAATAACCAATTTGATTCGTTATCTCAGGTTGTTTTAACCACTCCGTTTTTACATGCAGTGTATTCTGCCGACATTGCACCGCGATATAACACGCTTCAGTAACGAACATTTAGTGAACCAAAAATATTCACCAAGTTTTCTCTTAATTGTGGCCATGCGGTTCTAAAAATCCCACTAAGGTGCCAGTCAGAATTCACTGTTTGTTCAATCACAGGAGGCCCAGGCTCTGCAAATAGAGCCAGCTGGGCCTCTGTGGTTTTATAGCCGGCGTGCATCCTCAAGACCTCAACTCGAATTTATTAAATATCCAAAATTCGAGATTTAAAAAATTCGGGTTGAGGCTGCATGCTGGCTACTATTTAATTGCCAAGCCATACGGCTAAGTTTAAATGTCTTAAATAATAAAATCAATTCAGCTATAAGCCTTTTCCTGTGATTTTCTTCATGTTTGCACTAAAGGGTTGGTACTTACCAGTCTAGCAGTTGGGAAGTACCTAACTGATGCCTGACATGGTGCGTTCAGTTACACTAGATATCTAGCTGCAGGCATAGGCTCTCTTATCCTTGGTTGAAATCATGGCCATAGATCGATGAGAGCTTCAGGTCTAACTGCTTTAGGTTGTCCCTATAGGTCAGATCTTAGTATCTACACTAAACGCCATTTTTATTGCCATTGTCCAATAAACATATTTTGTGTCGTTGTTTTAGCAATGATAGCTTTCCGAGTGTTCAGCAAAGAGAGCAAAGCGTGGGTGAAATGGTTGCACATGATTATCCAGGCGATTGCGTTTGTTTTTGGTTGTGTTGGTTTAAAGGCATGTTTTGATTATCACACAAAACAAGGTTTTAACCAAGTGTACACTTTGCATTCTTGGATTGGAATGGGATCTTTTCTTTTATTCGCCTGTCAGGTATATCAGTATTTACAGCATTCTGTAATTTGTAGTTCAAAACCCATTTTTACTTTAAGGCCACTTCAAACCAGTCCAACATATGGGTCCAACATTGTAATATGCAACATTGTTGGGTTTGTTTGAGCATTATTATGTTGGACGATGATGATGTTGCATCAGGCTTGGCCATCCAGTATTATCGGGCCAACAATGATGCACAAGTTTGACTGATGATCATTAATGAAATTTTTAGTGGATAACACGTTAATGAATCATTATTTTGTTTTCTAAAAGCTTGATTCCATTAATCGTAAATATTTGTTAACTTTTTCCGTAATTTTCGTAAATGTAGCAAAATTTTCAGCATGAGCTCCACCTTTGAATTTACAAAAAGAGAAAATTGTTAAAAACGTCAGAAATTATCAATACATTCAAACACTCATTAATAATTCATAAGCTTATTGGCAAATCATGTCAACCATAATATGTCACGTGCAGTGGCTTTAAACCTGATAAAACACTCCTAATTAGTATTCTTTATATAAACAATACTAATAAGGCAGTATCTATTGTAGTCGTGTCCTCATTAGTATTCTTTATATAAATAATACTAATAAGGCAGTATATCTATTGAATTTTTAATCGTGTTTACTGGTTTGAAGCCGTTTAATAAACTTACAGGTCGTGTTTTAACCCTAACATAATCCGTTAATCTAACCCTAATCTAATCTTTATCTGACTCTAATCTAAACTTAACCTTATTAAGCTTGTTAAATAAAAGCAATCATTTGGAGTAAAATCGAAGTAAAATTGGAGATTATTTAACATTTGCCACCCGAAATGGTGGACATCAAGCAATAACGCCATGATATCGAGGTGTTGTGACGTCATATCCAAGGGCTGAATAAATGGGTGACATGAAACTTGTTTTGCGTTTGTTAAGGCTGGTTTACACTGTCAAACTTGTTCTGTGATCATAGTAGGAATTTTGCATACTAGATAAATTCTAAGTTTTGAAGGATTTGTAAGAAATGATTGAGGGAACTATCTCGGTGTTAGACGCAATGATATCGAGGTGTTGTGACGTCATATCCAAGGGCTGAATAAATGGGTGACATGAAACTTGTTTTGCGTTTGTTAAGGCTGGTTTACACTGTCAAATTTTCTGTGATCATAGTAGGAATTTTGCATACTAGATAAATTCTATGTTTTGAAGGATTTGTAAGAAATGTTCAGGGAACTGTCTCGGTGTTAGACAGTGAGTCACTTCCCTCAAACATTTCTTAGAAATCCTTCAAAACTTAGAATTGAATGGGGTGGGAAACTAATTTTTTCACCTACACTTGCAAAGCCAAAGGGTGGGTAAAAAATAAGTGCCTTTCAAGGAGTACCCTGAGTGTACCTAGTGGTTAGTATTTAAAAGAAAAACCCAAGGTCATTGGACCTAAAAATTAGCCACAGTTCAAACAACAGTCCTAATTTATTTCTAATTTATTTCTAATTGTTCTCAGATGGGCAGAGTTGCTGCTCAATTAAATCTGATAACGCCACAGTTAACTTGTGAAATACTCTTTTGATCAGTTTTTACAAGTGATTCACCACTAATAACCCTCCTTCCTTTCTCTCCATAAATACTTATAATATCTTCAATTTCATCTTCCGTATAGCCATTCGAGCAAACCTGGGTGTTTCAGATTAATGTCGTGTGGATTTTTCCTGCTCTTACGTTTTTGCTCTTTCTCTCGCCTTCTCTCCCTTTTCATTTCAAAATTGGAGGCATCTACACTACAATTGAGACATCTTTGTTGAGCTGCTTGGCGGTATTTGCAACATTGTCTTCAATTTTGCTCACCTGGACCCTAAACTGACTTGCTTCTTCAATAAATCTGCTGACAATTTCATTTTCATTCCTTGCCCATTTTTTCAATTCCATATGTACATCAAACAGCTTAGCCTTCGTGCAGTCACTTCCTTTGGGAGTCTAGGACTGCATGCAGGCTCCAAACAGCTCTACTTTCCGTTTATTCATTTGTTACAGTTGGCAGTTAAGTTACTTAATTCCTGCATGCTGCTTACGTGTTTACAAAAGACATGTATTCGTGATCACAGTAAAAACAAAGTAGTTTGACGTCAGTAAAACATTTACTTCCTTGCAATGTAAATGCCCTGAACAGATTTAAATGTATTCGCTTGGGTTACTTCTACCCTGGTTACTTCTTATCTTTTGAAAGCGGATCTTAAACCCTTTAATGTAATCAAATAGCCCGGCATGCTCATTGGCTGAGCATAATGAAACTTGAAGATCCATTAAAATAAACAGTGGGCGCTTTCCATTAACATGGTCAGATTGGTCCGGTCAGATCGATTGAATTGTCAAATAGAATAAAAAATTATGAGCCTTGACAGTGGTCTGACAAGACTGAAAATTTGGATCAAATCAGGAGGAGGTCCAGTTTAATTTGGCCAGATTTCGGGAAAAATTGGCTCAGATAAGAAACGGAAATACTAATCTCCATGGCTGCTCTGACCAACCAAATGGTAAGCGCGCAACTAAATGGTAAGCGCGCAACTTTTCTATTTGGTTCGTCCTGAAATACAAACGTTACACAAAGACAAGTATAGTCGTATTCTCACGAAATGTATTTATTTCCTAATCGTCAATTTTTTGTTCCCTTTTAGCTTGTTTTTGGATTCTTGGGCTTCCTGTATCCTAAGTTTCCTGATGCACTCAGAGCAGCATATCTAAAAGTACACGTGTTTTTTGGTACAGCCATATTCTTACTGGCGATTGCAGCCTGTTTGACTGGTATTACTGAAAAGGCCCTTTGGACAATAGGGTAAGTACCTTATCATGTAGAGTAAAGTTTTTATTATAGTTTCCGGCAATATTCGACTCAATCAGCTTGCACAGTATAGTAAGTACAATACAGACAGTACAGTAAGGGTATATACAATATAGCACAGTACAGTATATTTAAATATACATTATAGACAGCATAGTAGAGTTCATGCAGTTGATTTAATTGAATACAGTACAATGGAGTACATTAAAGTACAATAAAGTACAGTATGGAACAATTCAGTGGAGTATAGTATAGCACATACAAATTACAGATTACAGATTACAGTGCAATGTCTTCAGTACAGTGCGATTCATGAAGTGGATTGTAGCACAGTACAGTGCACCAAACAACACCACACAACAACACAACACACTGCAGACATTAATTCAGCTGTTACAAACAATAGGCCGCGACTAAATTAGCAATGAAAGCATACATAAGAATAGTTTACTTCATAGAAATACAGTTGTTCATGTTCAATTTTCTTCCATTTTGGCAGATCCGTTTACGGTAATCTTCCTCCTGTGGCCCTTCTGGTCAACTGTCTTGGTGTCGCTCTGGTACTACATGGAGGTGTTACATATTTTCTCACAACAAATGACAGCTTCAAGCAAACTGCATCAAGTGAAGAGCATCAAGAATTACTGGATCGTTCTAAACAATAGATAGGGATTATGCATGTACATTGCTGACCTGAATTCTTGAACTAACCAACTACTAATTAATTTTATAGTATAGACCTTGTGTAAACTAGCATTAGCTAACTAAGGAATTATTAGTAGTACAATATTGTATTTTTAAAATAAAATTATATAAGATAATAATAGAAAACGTCTTTATTTGAATACTCAAAACAAACGTCTGAGTTTACATATTAAGAATACTACAATTAGATTGTTACAGTTAACGTTATTTACATCAATTATTTACTACAGTAATAGTACTAAGGTATAAGAATATAGATAGGTTATAAAAAATTGAAAAGACATCTATTTATAAACGCGTTTTTGAACCTCTCAGTTTTAACAATTGGTAGTTCAAAGTCATGACCTCTCCGTCTTAAAGGTCGACCTAACTTGCTAGTTAAAAGATTGTCTGATTGTGTAAGGCATTCTTATCATCATTTATAATTCTTGACCATAATTTCTTGTCTCTGTTCGATATTATTGCTTTAAAATTTGATCTGTTGCTTGTATAACCATTCCTATAGGCACGATTGATAAACATCAATCTGACTTACGTATTTGTTGTACGATGCTCCACCCCAAACCTCGGCTGCAAAGGTGAAAAGAGAGACTATAAGACTATTGAAGAGAAGATCCAATTGATGTGTATAGAGAGCCCGTAATGTGTGCAAACTCTTAGAATATAAACATTCTTCTACTAGCTTTTTTATCCCATCTTCCAGGTATTTCGTCCATCGTTACACCCAATAATTTGAGCCATGCATTCTTTCCGTTTTATGGATGAAATGTGATCCGGAGGGGGGAGGGGGTAGACTATCATTTCATAGGTTTTCTCCATGTTTAATGTTTTCCACTTCATCCCCAGTTGCGTCCACACGTAAACGACGTTTTCGGCAACCGAAAACGGAGGTTTTCGAAAACGCTATCAAGAGTGGAGGTTTTCGAAAACGCCGTTTTCGTGTTTACGTGTGGACGGGCGAAATGTTGTAAAATGCGGATAATATAGCCTTGCGAAGTTTGCCGTTTTTCAGTCATTTTGCATTACAAATGGGAAATTGATAATCAGATGATCAAACTGATTATCAAAAATGACTGAAAAACGGCAAACTTCGCAGGGCTATATTATCCTCATTTTACAACATATTTCAACGAAACTTCGGAATATTTCTAATTTTGTGATGCTCTTTCAAGCTGTGATTAAATTTTTGTCTAGACTTGTCTAGATCAAAATTTCACTCATAAGGGGAAAGGTCTATTGGCAATTCCAGCTTTTAATTTATTCACGCAGGGGGTGATGGGAAGTAAGGTATCATATTGCTGATTGATATCAGGTCAAATTAATAATAGATAAAGAAAGTTTTATGAACTTGTTATTAAGTTGATAAATGCTTTAATGCATTTTAAAATCACTTTCCTTTTAGGGAGCGGTCATTATTTATGGCGAGGGGTGGCAAAGCTTGGGTAAACAAAATGTTGAGTAAGTAAAAGGTTGGGTAAATGAAAAACAAAACAACTTAAGGGTTGGGTAATAAAAACTTATTCTCATTTCCAAAGCATGACTCACTCAAATATTGGAGACTAAAAAGCAATGTCAACAGTCATATGTCAACAGTCATATGTCGATACAATATGTGAATCAATCAGAGTCACTATCTTGATCATTTTCCGATCTGTTGCATGGGAGACAAATGTTGTCTTCAAAGACAACATGAAACTATAGACGGCAGAAAATTTCACAATCCGTTATCAAACTCATGTCACAGAAGTGATAAAGGACATGTGTCACAACTGAATGGTTTCCTTTTGTAAAGTTTTTGGCCAGGGGTGGGTATTTATTTTTTAATTGATATTTGAGGTTGGGTAATCAAATTTTTGACTTTTTAATGGTTGGGTCAGCAAATATTTTTCCATGAAAAACATTTCTCTTCGGTGCCACCCCCCACCATAAATAATGACCAGCCCCTTAAAACGATGCACATATTATGCAACATTTACACGAACGCGGGAATCTAATTTGTGTTCCGTTTTCATATAACTTTGCATCTAACTTTCAGATTACACGAATATATTATAGTGGAAGTTTTCTATATAGGCTTCAAAGCAAATGTATCGACAAGAGAATGCAACTTTATAATATCTTCGGCTACATCTCTTTCGCTACCAGCAAGAACCAAGCTCTCAAGTCGATCTTCACCCATGGTTGCTCTCATGTAATTGTTGATAATTTTAACTTTGCTGTGGCGTCTTTCGCATGAAGCTATTGTAATTGGAATTGTGGACGCATTCTGGAATTCTGCGAAGGTTTCGGTAAAGGCAGCGTAATCACTTATTCACTTTCACCAAACTTCTTAATATTAATGGAAAGTAAGGGTTTTTCCACCCCTGCTTCTTGCGTTCTTCCATCTCTTGCATCAAACTGCGAAAGCATCTGGACTCCCAGAACAAGGAATATTCCCGACAGTTTGCTTTCTCTGGGATTATGTACCTTCTTGCCAAATTCCGCACCTTTTCTATATTAATTATCATCACTCCAACGAGCTGGATTGAGAATTGTGCCAATTACTTCACAAGATTTTAATGAAAATCGCCTCTTCAGCTCCCTCAGCAGCAAATCAAGAAGACAATAGTAAAAATCAGTGCGAAATTTACTTTCTCATGCTGACACTGTTGTGTTGCTTTGAGTTGAAGAGACAACGGGGTGACTTAATGATGCATCAAGCAATGTTTGTCCATCAGCTAGACTTGGAAGCGTTCTACGGCGTTTGTTGCTGGGATCTGGCTAAAGCCTGGTTCACACGATGAAATAAGCATAACCACAAGCAGCGGAACCTTTGATGTGCATAAACGTAAGCATAAGAAGAACGCAACATTTGTTCTTCTTATGTTTATGCTTATGCACATCAAAGGTTCCGTTTTCTTATGTTTATGCTTATTTCATCGTGTGAACCAGGCTTAAACGAATCCAGTTCAACGTGGAATTCGACTGCCTTGAATTCAGCAGTGCGCACAAACTCGACAAATTTTTCCTCATTCCGGAAAGAAGAAAATTTAGCGATTAGCGAAGTTGCCGCGTCAACAGCGGTTACTAAGCTAGTCCATTTCTTCTCCTTGAAGATATTCTGAAGCGTTGCACCAAACTAAACAGTACATATAACATACTGGATAGCCTATGAACGCAAATACGCAATTATTTCAATTTAATGACGACAGTTGATTTCTTTAAAAATATTCGCAACTTGCATCCCCCCAGTTTTTTCTCACTTTTGGATGAATTACAATATTGGCCTTTACAAAAAGTGG